CTCAAAATTAAGATTGTGATGATCATGGTGATTGCTTGGTGATGCATTTTATAAGGATGCCTCTATCTCAAAGAGGCAGTGTTAGCTCTCTGGGAAAGTTAGCAAGGTAAACTAAGAAATCTTCAGTTAGCCATTTCTTGCCCATTATAGATATTTCTACTTGTAAGTCTTAAAGTAGCTCCAACTCAATGTGACCAAAATAGAGTTAAGCTCTGCTTCAGTTTTTGTATTCCTATCTCCTTGAATGGTATCATGGTACAATTAGTTGGACAAACAAGAAGCTTGGATGTCAACCCTGTCATCTCTCTCTCTGTTACATTCCATGTACAACCTAACACCAAGTTCTGCCCATTTACTTCCTGCATTCTTCCCTAACCAATTTTTTTCTTCTAATATTACCATCATCCTGGTCTGAGCTACCGTACTCTCCTTCCTAACAGGCCTCCCACCTCTACTTTCTTCCTTCCACTGCATTCTTCTCTGTTCTGTAGCCCCAGTGATCATCCCAAGATGGAAATCCATCCTGTCACTCCCTTCTTAGCACCCTTTAATGACTTCCTATGGCTTTTAGGATCAAAAGCAAAGCCCTGCCTCACCTGGCACCTGGCAACACAACTGCCCCACAATCTAGCCACACTGGCAGGCTTTTCTCCATATTTACTCCACCAGCTGTCTTTCGCCCTTGCTGTTTCTTCCTATTGGATTGTCTTCCTCCCCTCAGTACTCTCTTTGGCCTAGTTAATGATTACTTATATATCTTCCATGTCTCTCCTTATTTAACTCCTTTTTTCAGGAGCTTTTCCTGACACTGTAGAAAAAGCCCACATGCCAGCATTCCTCTCCAAGTGCCACGTTCCTTTCCTTCCTTGCGTTTATCAGTTTAACTTCCATTTTTGTGGATGATGACTGGAGTAATTCTTTCTCCCCCTCTCCATCCATAATCTCCATGAGGATAGGATGTTTCTTAATTGTGCATCTTGAGTGCCCAACACTCAACACGCTTCCTGTCTGATAGGAGAGGTCCCAAATATATTGTAAAATAAACAAATGCATGCATTTTGCCTTCCAGACTCTTCCTCTATAACTTTTTCTTCCTTCTTTCCTTCCCATGTTCCTCAGGCTTTTATAGACAGCTTATTTACAAAAGAAGTTGCTGCTCCCTTTGCATATTGGTTCATTTGAAGAGTAGATCTTTGGAAGGAGAGAAATGGCCACACTGTAGTTATCTTTCTGTAAAACAGTGTGACACTGATCTGGTGTGTGCTTATTAACACACCCCTTGAGCTACCGTGAGCTGAGTGGTAATTGCCTGGTTCTCCAGGTGAGTCTGTTTCCCTGGGGTGCACTTGTAGGTTCCTGAGGTGTAATCTTTACACAGCTGTGTTGGCAACTGAGTTCACCAATGTTTGCTGTGTGTCCAAGGACAAGCGGGTATCTGAGACAGTGAGTGTTCCTAACAAACTCCCCTCTCAAATTTCCGTGATCTCTGTGTGCTTTCAAGACTTCACAGTGTGTCTCACAGTTTGGGAACAGCTTTCATCATTATCTGACTGGCGAGTACTGGTTCTGTGCTAATTTGTGTCTTTAAAATAGCTTAACACACAATAGTGCCCAGGGGTCCATTCTGCTGCTGACGTAATCACCAAATATAGTTCTCACAGTGTTGCCTGCCAGAGGAGTGTTTAAAAATACGTCCTAAGGAACACCACTCTACTGCTTGAGCTTTTCCTATATACTTAAGTTGCTCACATGTGCAGATAAGTCAGTCCAAATTTTTTATTCTAGATTATTTACCTATTCAAATCAGACTTCCATAGAGTTCAATTAGTATTTTTTATTCTTAAAAGATTCTATTAAATCATCGATGTTCTATCAATGATAGATGCCAGCTTTGTATCTAATTTCCATAACTTTACCATGGGAACTGTCCAGTTGGCCCAGGATTGCAAGGAGAACCCAGGTGAAGGGATTTTCAGTGCTAAAACCAGAGAAGTCCAAGACAAATAACGACAAATACTGCTTTTGTCTTTGATAAGGGGCAGGGTGATTTTTTATTCCCTGCATAGATACCCATTTAGTGGTTGTAGAATTCCCTGAAACTAATACCTTGCTAAGCATCTCTTTCTTTTTGAATAGAACAGCTTATTGAGATAGAACTCACATACCATACAATCAACAGATCCATTTAAAATGTGCAATTCAGTGGTTTTTAGTATACTCACAGTATTGTGCATGCAACTGTCACCACAGTCAATTTTAGAACATTTCCATGACTCCCAAAAGAAACCCTGTGCCCATTAGCAGTCACTCCCATCTCTCTCCCCTACCCTTCACCTGTACCCAAATCTCTCAGCTTTTGGCAACCTCTGGCCTGCTTTCAGTCTCTAGATTTGCCTTTTCTGGATATTTCTTATAAATGGAACTCTACGTGGACTTCTGGTTCTGGCTTCTTTCACTTAATATAATATTATCAAGCTTTGTCCATGCTATAGCATGTATTACAACTTCTTATCATTTGTTGACAAATGTACTACATTTAATTTACCTGTTTATAAGCTAATGGACATTTGGATTATTTCCACCATTTGATTACTTGTGGATATTCATATACACGTTTTTAATGTGGATATGTTTTCATTTCTCTTGGGTATATACATAGAATTCCAAGTCATATAGTAACTCTATGCTTAAATTTTTGAGAAACTGCCAGACTGTTTTCCAAAGCAGCTAGATTATAATTCCTTCTTCCTTCCTTTGCTCCCTCCCTTCCTTCCTTTTTGGTGTACTGAGATTTGAACTCAGGACCTTGCACTTTCTAGGAAGGTACTCCTACCACTTAAGCCATGCTTTCAGACCTTTTTACTTTATTTTTCAGATAGGGTCTCATGTTTTTGTCCAGGGCCAGTCTCAGACCGCAATCCTCCTACCTAAAATTGGGATTGCAGATGTGTGCCACCACTGCTCAATTTGTTTGTTGAGATGGAGGTCTCATTAACTTTTTGCCCAGGCTGGTCTCAAACTCCTAATCTCTGCCTCCAAAGTAGTTCAGATTACAGATGTGAGGCATCACCCTCCTTCCACTATCTATCCTAGTGGATGTGAAGTGGTGTCTCATGGTTTTGATTCTCATTTCTCTGATGGCTAATGACATTAAGTATCTTTTTTTATGTTTATTGCTAAACTTCTTAAATGGAAAATTATAGCAAACATAAAGAATGTTTGTAAATAACTGATTATATGCACTAGGCTTAAGATTTTTAACTAAGTATTTAAATTGGATGCTCACAACTAATTTCTGCCAAATCAGATCATTCTATTTGGAGGTAAATCTGTAAGATTTACTTAAATCATTGACTTTTCCTCATGACCAGAAATGGTCCCACTGTAACTCTCTCTCTCTCTCTCTCTCTCTCTCTCTCTCTCTCTCTCTCTCTCCTGATTTTGGACCATTCTCTGATGCCTCCACCAAGCCCTATCACCCAAGTGTCTGTCTTCTCCTGGTGTCTGGATCACACAAGGGATTGTGTTCCTGAGTGTAGCACTGGACCTTCTTCCTTGGTGCTTTGTTGACCAACTTCCTGAAAGGGCTCCACACCAATGATTGCTCCTACTTTTGGGGCTCCAGGTCCTGGTACTTTACACGCTCATTATTTCTTCCTTTTCTCTCACCTCTTTAGTTTTCTGCTATTTCTTTCTCTTTTTTCCTCTCCAATTTCTGTATGCACTCTTGTTTACTTTTGTTCATTGTTTTTTACTTGTGATCATTTGTTAGTTTGTTCCTTCATTCCTTCCCTAACAGATCTGAGAAGGAACTATGCATGCTAGTCAGCTTTCCATTACTGTAATCAATACCTGAGATAACCAACTTATTTTAAAAAAGGGATTATTTTGGCTCACAATTTCATGTTGTTTTGGGGCCTGTGGTGAGGCAGCACATCATGGTGGCAGAACATGGAGGAACAAAATCACTCACCTCATGCCCAGGAAGCAAAAGAGGGAAAGAAGAAGAAACCAGGGTCCCATAATCCCCTTTGAGGCCATGTCCCCCATTGACCTCCTACTAGGCCCCAACTCCTAAAGGCTCTACCACCTCCCAGTAGTGTCAAACCGAGGACGCATGGGCCTTTGGGGGGCATTCCAGATTCACATGATAGGATTATGGTATTTTAGTCCGTCCCCTGTTCTTGGTTTCTCTTCCCCATTGATTTTCTCTCAAGCGACTCCATTGATTTGGCATAAAAGTAGACAGTTCTTGGCAAGACTATCAAGAAAATGATCTGGTAGAAGCAAGAGGATAGACTTCAAAGCCAACTCAGGCAGCTATTGAGATCTTATCTCAGAAACAAAACAACCAAACAAACAAAAGAAAGGGCTAGAGGTAGATTCAAGAAGTAGCATACAAGAGGCCCTGGGTGCAACCCCCAGTACTGCAAAGGAAAGAAGAAAAAGAAAGAAAATATACTTCTTTCTGCAGTAATTTTTGAAGCATGAGAATAGAGACTAGTAGTTTTCTTCTCTCCAGAGGTACCTTGGCCAAGTTAACTGTTAATAGTGGTCAAAATTTCCAAAAATGTCTACGTGACCCCACCCCCCCTCACTGATAACATTTCAGCATTAAAACCCACTATTATCTAAGGGTCAAATAGCAAAGCCACAACTTTGTAGTTAGTTTGGCATAGGGGACAAAGATAGTAATAATAATGAATAAGTCAACAATAATAAAACAGTAAGGGAAGAATAATTTCATGGGGGAAGGGGGAGGTGGCAATTCATTGTAGAATGGCAGCCAACAATTGATCAGTATCATTTCCATGTTATTAATCACTTTATAAGGAGCTTTAACCTAGCTCAGCATAATGTAGTCACATTTACATACCACAGGAATAATCTTAAAGATATACATTCTGGACCACACTGTCATTTTCAGCCCTGACCAAAGAGATCTGGGGTCCTCATGACTAGGGGATAGAAAGCAATGCCGGCTGGTTTGTGTTTTTCAGAGTCAAGGGACCTGAGAAGGAGGAGAAGTTGAGACAGGTGGTCAAGCAGGTGCTGAAGTGTGATGTGACTCAGAGCCAGCCTCTGGGTGAGGTCCCTCTGCCGCAGGCTGATTGTCTGCTGAGTACACTGTGCCTGGATGCTGCCTGCCCAGATCTCCCTACCTACCGCACCGCCCTCAAGAACCTCAGCAGCTTGCTCAAGCCGGGAGGCTTCCTGGTGATCATCGATGTGCTGAAGAGCAGTTATTACATGGTTGGTGAGCAGAGGTTCTCCAGCCTCTCCCTCGACCAGGAGGAGGTGGAAGCTGCCGTGAAAGAGGCTGGCTACACAATCGAGCAGTTTGAAGTGATCTCTCAAAGTTATTCCTCCACCACTGCTGACAATGAAGGACTTTTCTCCTTGGTTGGGCGGAAGCTGGGCAGATCTGTTGACATCTTGTGATCTCAATTAAAGCAATCCTTTCAGCTTGTGGGTTGACTTCAGGCCTTGGTTCTAGTTGCTGTGCTCAGTGTACCAAGCATGCGGGTGGAATGGGTGGGCAGTCAGTTTAGGACAAAACTGTGGACCGTGTACTCTATGCTCCACACATATGTTGGTGCTTTGGGATCCAAAGATGAGTACGAGGATGCCTAGCCTCCCCTCTCTGTGTTCACAAAAAGGCCTCATTTCCCAAACATCCAAGCCCACTCATGCCCACAGAGATTTGTCTGTATTTCTTAGTCACTGTCAGTTTTCCTAGAAAGCCTGCCAACTCCTTCTCTTGACTTCTCTCTGGAGAAGTGACCACATCTCAGCCTCTACTGCTTCTGTGTTTCCCTGGGCACATCTGTCTTCTGATGGACTCTCTTGGTGCCAGCATCACTCTGGCCTGGGGTCAGAGAACAGCTGATCAGTGATCAATTTTTTTCTTCCATAAGATCATTTCATTTTCAAGTTCTTCCACTCCCTAGCTGTTTCTCCTTAGATAAGTCATATAACCTTGCTTTGCATTAGTTTCCTCATCTGCAAAATGAGACTGACACAGAACCTCTTAAGAGAATTAAAATGAACTGCTACATATAAAGGACTCAGAGTAATACTTGGCATTTGATAGACATTTGGAGAAACGCTAACTATAATTATTATTGCCATAATTATAATCATCATCTTTGATATTGGTTGCCAATGCATCTGGGAAAAGATATCTTGATCTCCAAGTAGGAGAGAAGTGCTCTGCTCTGAGCTGCAGGCATTCAAGCTCTTCACTGGCATTGCATTCAAGAGGGTCTGTGATAAAACTCAGTTTCTATACCACCTGCCACCAATTTCTTTCTAATTAAAGAGATATTCAGCAAACATTTATTTAGCACCTTCTGTGAATCTTTCCTGAGCCAGGTCTGGAGATTGCAAATGAAACCCCAGTGTCAGCTGGCTCAAGAGCCTCATCTTTACAGTCACAGTGACAACGCAATGCTCCCAGGCGCTGTCAAAGGCAGAGAGGCTCTGCAGTGCAGTCCCCACACCAAACCTGTCTGCTCACCCTCTCCTGCTCAGGCTGCACTGCTGCCAGCCCACGTGCCCAGCCTGACCATGCTGGGCAGGGGATGACGTGGTTCCTTTTGAGAAAGATCCTACTCTGCCAGTGGCTCTGCCTTGGGGGCTATAAGTCATGTTGGTTTCCTTCCAGAGAGATAGGGAACACTTTCCATCTATACCAGGATTTAGGAAACTTATCCTGCTGAGGGCCAGATCATAAATATTTTTTGGCTTTGCGGGTCATACAGTCTTGATCACAACTATTCATCTCTGCCATTGTAGCAGAAGCAGCCATAGACAACATATAAACGGATGTGTGTCTATGTTCTAATAAACTCTATTTACAAAAACAGATGGGCAAGTGGATTTGGAACAAGGGTTGTAATTTGCAGACCTCTGGTCTAGACCCTGAAGTAGACTGTTTGTACCCAATGTTTAAATAAAGACTGTTCTTGTGAATAGTCTGTTTAATTTCTGACAGTCAGTCCTACTTACAAAGGAGCTAAAACTGGTCCAAGAGGCTGGACAAGGGATAGAGAGAACATTGTTTCCTCTGTAGTCATCCTGCTCTTTCACTCTCTGTCCTGCTGTGTCCACCAATCAAACCTCTCCAGTTTGAAGCATTCAATGGGTACAAACAGAATCAGAAAACAAGTGGAAGGCAGGGGAATGACAGATGAAGTGTCAACTGAATCAATATTTTTTCAAACTGTAACTTGCCATTCATTATTGTATCATCAAATCAATTGGGTATACCAAAATAAACAGTATAAAAATACTAGAAAACAAGTTGGAAAACAAATCCCAGGTAATAACACTTCACGTAGTATTATTTTGTGGAGTTTTGTTTCAGTTTTACAAATATATCTATACACATTTGTTACTGGATGTGATACAAAAAACATTTATTACTGTAGGTTATGATCAAACGGTTTGAAGACCAGCTATGGGCTGGTGGGTCACGCCTGTAATCCTAGCTACTTGGGAGGCTAAGATTGGGAGGATCCTGGTTCATGGCCAGCCCAAGCAAAGAGTTAGCAAGACCCCCATTTCAACCAATTAACTGGTACAGTGGTGTGTGCCTGTCATTCCAAGCTACACCAGAGGCTGAGATCAGGAGGATCAAGTTTCCAGGCCATCTCAGGCAAAAAAAAAAAAAAAAAAATTATGAGACTCCATCTCAATGCAAAAAAGCTGGGTGTGGTGGGGTATACCCTGGCCAGCCTGGGTTAAAAAAAAAAAAGACCCCCATCTCCAAAATAAAAAGGGCTGGGGGTATAGATCAAGTGGTAGAGCTCCTGCCTCACAAGTGTGAAGCCCTGAGTTCAAACCCTAGTACCACCAAAAAAAAAAAAAGTTTGAAAAGTTTGAAAGTACTCTAGGCTTCTGAGCTTCCTCTCTGATGGCCAACATTTTTCTTCCACGCAGAGATAAAAGGAATAGCCCCACCCTGCAAAGTGATTTGGAGAAATTGACATGCAAACAGTTAAAACATAGGGAGTGAACAAAGGGGTCTGAGATCAGAAGCTGAGTACTTGGAGGGAAGGTGCCAAGACTCATGACATTTGCTCTGGGTCTTGCAGGCTGAATAGGGCGTGTTTGTCAACAGGGAAGGAAAGGGCAAGCTGGGGACAGCGTGAACAAAGGCATGGAATGATTCCTGATAGCAGACTCCTCCCTGGTTTATTCTGTAGTGATACTGGGACCTGGGCAAACATTTGACTTCTGGTTTTCGTTTGCTTTCTCTGAAATCAAACATATCAACCAAGTTGTGAGCAAACATGGACGGGGGGGGGGGGGGGGTCAGTCTGGTCCTTACTTGTAAATCTCTTTGACCACTGACCCAGTTCAGCTCTTTTTTTTTTTTCAGTTCACTTTATGGAGAAGCATTCAACAATTCCACTCTGAGTAAACTTTTATGATGCTGCAAGTTGCAAGTCCTCGTGCAATACCCTGGGGAAAGACCAGGAAAAAGAAAGCTATTAAAAGGTTGTTAACCCATTTGGTGTCGTGCAGCCCAGCCTTGGTAATTTCCATCATCTGGCAGTCAAGAGTAATAAAGGAGATATCCATGATAGAATTTACTGGGCTCAGCTTTAAAAGCTGTGACTGCCCCTCTACTTGAACCTAGGGCAACTCAGAGAGTGCAGTACAGGGTGTCCAGCAGATCTCATGGAATCAAGGAGGAGGTGAAAACACTGGGGACTAAGGGACACTGAGAAAATGCAATTGCCATAGGGTATTCTTCCATGGGGGTGATAATCTCAGGACTGGATTGAAATCAAATGAGATGCCCAAGAAAGCATTTTGTAACCTGCTAGATGACACATATCAGAAAACCTTGGTATTTCTTAACCCCTTCTAGGATAGCCATTGGGCCACATTGCTGCATTTATTAGATTGCCTTAACGGACTGAGTAAGTTTTGTAACCAGAGTCCTGGGCCACTGGTCCAAGTCCATGGTTTCCCATTGTCAGGTTCAGTCACTTGTTCCAATATGCCAAATAAAGAGATGAGTTGTGGTGAAGGGCCGAGAAAGGACATTAAAAATGCAACATGGGCATGCTTCAGGTAGAGGCAAAGTAAGCACTTCAGCCCACCATCCCAGGTTAAATAGAGGACAAATGGGGCTGGGGGTGAGAGGTATGCGTAATTATTAAATAGTCCTGGTCACAGGTGTGGTGTGGTCAGGGGCGGTCCTGTTGCTCATTATCTCAGGATTGGTCAGGTGGGGTTTTGTTACAAGAAAGTCTTTGCTGCTTGGCAGGGGTGGCTTTGATTCCTGTCACTGACATCCCTGGGAGAACAACCAGAAGGTCATGCACTGTTACAGAGTCTAGGAAAAGCACTAGATTCTTTTGGTTATCAGGTCAACCATTCAGAGATCTTTTGCCTTTTCTGACAGAGCCCCCCAAACAGGACAAATCCTGTCTTTCTTTTAGCTGTACTTTCCTATGTATAGCTCAATTTTGCTCAAAAAAAAAAAAAAAAGCTAGGGTAATGTTTTTAAGGAATATTATATCACAGAGTAACACCATCATGAATGGAATCACTGAAGTGTTCATTTTTATATTTTCCAATGAAAGTAGTGATTTCAACTTTCTGGTTCTCTTTTTTTCCCTTGCTGGCCACAGCGTTGCGCATCGAATGGAAACACTTTCCTCCACCCTCTGATGGCCAGCAGAGGGCGGACGTGGCTCTTGTTGAAGCTCTCCTTCCCTGAGTTTGCCCATTTATGCAAAAAGGAGATTAAATTGAGATAAACCTTCTAAAACAAGAAGCCACTCCATAGTAGTGCCTATTGTACACTCTACTTATGAGGCTGCTAGGGAAAGGGGAAGGGAGAACTCATCACATTTTCCTCTAACAAAAAAATGTATAATTATTTTTATAGATACATTAATAATTTCCCCTTTTGGATCTATATACAAAGTGTAAAATCTAATAAATCATACAGATGCTCTGGGTCAGATTAGCATGAGAAATGTTAAATATTATATTGTGCATTTAACTCACCATCTCCTTCTAGTTCCTGTTTATTTAATGGGGAAAAGAAGTTTTTGTGCTTTTTCAAAACCCAGGTTTTAATATTAAAAAAAACAAATGAAGAAATCTTTCTGTGGCTATGATTGCTGACAAAACCACTGTGCTCAGAACTTTGATTTTTACTTTAAAATGTCTAGTGAACTCAGGGGAAAAAGTGGGGCTGATTTTCAAACCCTTAACAGATCTTTGGGTTGATAATGCCTTTGTTCTGACTTCAGTGTTGAAAACCAGGAAACAGTTTCTTTCCTGGTAAGTTATTTTCTTTCTCCTTTCTTAAAAAGAGCTTTTGGACTTTAACAAAAGTAGCATTAAGAGCTATAAACAATAGTTAGGCTGTTCTTACTCAAGTGACTGTATTCCCCTTAAGAGAAGGATCTGGTACTTCCTGAGCAACAGGAGGAGAAAG